CCTGCACAAGGGCGGAAGTGGTGTAGTGACAAGTGGCGCGCTCACCACGCGAGCGGTCCGGGATCAAATCCTGGGTCGTGAGTCGCCCGGGCCAACCAAGCCTTCCATCCCTCCGGGGTCGGTTAATTGGTACCAGACTTGTCTGGGAGGATAAAAACACTGACTTGAACATCGGCTGGCCCCCGCAAGTCATTGTATAGGCCACATCGCATTCAAATGCCACTGCGAATGTACAAATGGAAGTAGAATGCGTGCCGCATCCCAAAAAGGGATTGATCAACGGCAAATGCTTTATCCTTTTATTTATCTCGCCTACATTCTAAAAAGTCTTCTGCCGCGAAGAGTAAAGTAAGGTTTGTATTCCCTCTGTAATTCATGATTTTCTTTTCTTTTTACTCCACATGTAGTCCGCCTCCCATCCCTACTTTCATATTTGAGTGGAATTACCATCTCTACTCAATCCTGAAGCTTGCCTTTAACATTTTGCAGAGGATGTCACTGGTCGGTCGATCGGACGGTTTTTCACTCCAACAGTCGCGTATAAGATGAAGCTGCAAAATACATCATGATTTTTTGGCAATAATACGGCTCGAACCTGATTAAAACAAGGGGGCTGGAAAAAAGAGTCACTCTCCCCCCATACAGACAAAGATATAATCAAATTTTGCCCGAATCCGAACCGAATTCACCCAATTGAATATTGAAAAGCACTCCCTATTCCATCAGAAACCTTCACAAAATATCTTCTACACAGGCGGTATCAAAAGATTTTCTCATGAGAACATGGTGCACGGTTTGAGCTCAGAGGTCTTCGACGGATCGTGGGTATTGCGACGTTGTGTGAAAGGCTGATGGGGAGAGGTGTTGCATAGTCAGAGCTGAAGAATCTAGGAAGCTATTAATCGGTTGACTGATCAAAGGAATTGTGTAAAGATTCGAGTCTGAAGCGATATAAGGTTCGCCTGAAGGGCCAGCTACTGCCTAAGTGGGGGGGGGGGTGAGAAAAATCCTAGGAATGTGTTGCCATTCGGGTGTCCCCTAAGAAGCTCATCGCGCGGCAAAGGAAGAGACGGACGAAGACGAAGTTGCGCAGCGCGTGCTGTGCGATATGAGACGCAGTATGGTACACTCTCTTTAACCTGACGCCTAACCGCTACAGTATGCGCTGCAACTCGTCCCTTTGCCGCGTCTGCGTCTCTTGCTTCGCGCGGTGGGCCTGTTGGGGACACCCTGAAACCTCGGTCAACGGTTATAACCTCTGCGATGATAAGTTAGGTGATGTACGCCATGGGAGAAGTAACTCTTTCTTGGCTCCCTGCATATTTTTTTCATAAGTCATATGTAAAATCAGATTTCCTACCACTGCCACATTGATTTCGCCATCCGTACTGAGATCCGGCCGTGGAGGTGTAGGTCCTCCCTTTTTGAGCATATACAATAGTTCTAAAATAATAACAAAAAGGGGGATTCGCGATGTCCAAGATTGGTTTGAAATTCTACTCACCATCAATTCGCTCTTTGCGCTCGTGTAAGTTCCATACTGGTTTTCGAGTTACAACCTCTGAGGCAATAATAGCGAACGAGTATACATCGCCCTCTTTTGATGCCTTCGAAGAGGTATCGGGGGATCGAAGATGTTCAGGAGCCATCCATAGTAGACCTAAACAAAGTTCTGGCAAAAGTGCAAATGAGCAGCCACTTTCATGTATTTGTCATCAGGGCATAAGTACTAATATGTGCGGATTCCATGGAAGAAACAGGGTTACGAAGATTTGGCGCAAAATGGTGCAAGTGACGCCAGCGCCAAGAATGTGAAATAGTCTTAGTTGTGCTTATAACAATAGCGGCACGCTTATGTGGGGCAGTGGTTGCCGTTTTGGGATCTGACCTCTGAGCCTGTATGGTGCCAAGTTTTAGATACATAAACGTATCCTTAACAAAAATTCAGAAAAAACAGACAGAAGTGAACGAAAGGATTCCTCACCCTGCCCGGTTGTCAACTTAACATAGGCATAATAATTTGTTCGACCGAGAAATTTTTTGAGAAAGTGCGAATAGTTCACATCAGCTCGTGCGAAGCCCGCGACAGTCTATGATCTAGATTATGGTCGCGAGCAGAACGCTGTAACCGTAACGTAGAATCTTACCAGCAGGTGGGTAGGCGTTTGTAATTTGAGTGGTCGCGTTTAGTAATTCTAATGGGTCGTATTTTCTACTCTCAATTCCCGCCCAACTAATTCGCACTCGGCAGTCGCGCCGTACACGTAACTGTAGACGCCAGTAAACGCAGGTCGCACATCTTCCAAGCCGCTATGCTTTGGGCTCTTCCGCGCCGCAGCTGGCCGTATAACTAACTCTACGAGAGAGTCAGCCTATCGGGTGGGGGCCTGCTTCTGGGCCTTGTTTTCTCCATTGGGTACCAGTTAGTCACTCTCTGGAGACGGGAGAGAATGTCTTTATCTAGATAGACTGCGAAAATATTTTTTGCCGTTTCACATGTCATATATAATTAACTCTCAGTCGGCTCCACAAACTCCCACTTGCTTGAAGTGTTTCACAACTGCTTGCCTTTTCTGTTTGGGAGCTCATACACATATGGGAGGTACAGCTCTGGCTAAACACCTTCTTTAATTGGACGTCATGACGTGATTTCTGTAAATTAATCATGTGGTCAGGTTAAAATAACAGGGGAATATTCGAGAAAAAAGTGCTGTATTCGGTGAACTTTTCTCCATGGTAATTTAGTCTTGCGTCAAAGCTTACGGATACGACTGCAACCAAGCACGCCCCGCCCTTGGTGTTTACCTCACATTCACCCAAACTCGGCAAGGAGGACCCCCTGCATATCATTTCTTACCACTACCATAGTTTACTGCTCTTTTTACGTCCTGAATTTCGGAGTTTCAAGAACAATTAATCAACTCAATGACTCTCGGCGCAGGTAGAATCTTTTGAAGAGAAAACATGTGACTGCGAGGGTTTTTGACAGCACTGGCAGATACTGCAATCACATGTTCCTTACGTTTTTTCTTGAGGCGATCTTCTTCTCGCAATGACCCGGTCCCATAGTCCGATATCTTGACTTGCCAGCTATCAGTGACCAAACAGCACTCCGATCGGAGACGACCATGGGCTCCGATGATAGAGTTGTGCAGATATCGAGTACCCTGAGAGAAATCGAATTTCTTGTTTCTTCCAAGATGTGGAGAAGCGATACCTCAGCGATGTCCCTCATTATACACAGCATAAAAAACGGATCGAACCATAGGGAACCCTTTGAGATTAGTTCCTAGAACGTAAAAATAGAAAATTATGAATTCTGATATAAAAAATTGTAATTTTCGAAAATGAACCTGGAGAGTGCCTCTGGAGCACATGCGCCAAATAGCCACATATTCGGCGCCATCAACTGAGAGCCCGATGAAGCGATTAACATTATCATGATCCAATCTCCTCATCTGAATATGACTACAGCTAAGTTATCAGTATTGAAGCGGTAGAATTGAAAGACAAAATAAAGAAGTTTTTGCAGTCTTCCAAATAAGTCTTGCACTCGGTTTTCATTTGGGAGTGTACGTGCCTACCAACCAACTAGCCCCCCCCCACTGTCACTGACCCGTAGAGGGCGACTCTCAGGTTTATAGGGAACAATTCTATCGCAGGCTAATGATGTCAAGCCGATCACGATTGAAGCGGGTTGCGCGCAGCAATTAGGGCTGCGATTTTTTTCGGACCTGGAGTTAGCCACTTACATCCATAGGTTGCCGGTGGGCTAGACAACTGATGAAGATCAAAAGGCAGATAAATCGGTGAACTGAAGTGAACAGCAAGCCGTTACTTAGAATTTCCGCAAGATTTAAGCCTCGCAATAAGGCTTATAATGTGAAATGTTGCCCTTTTGTATTAATTTGAACTCTTGATTGTGTTAAATACTGTTTGTACCCCCCCCCAGCACTGTGTCAGAGAACTGGTTGCAATCAGTTGTGTTCACCCAATGGTTAACTCAGGCTTGTAGGATCCTCTGTTTACGCCTGCGATCCTCTAGCCACTGGCAAGTTCGTTGAAAGCAAATGTCACGATAAATTCGTTGACCGTTGAGAGTAAATTAGAGCTGCCAAGCTGGGCAGCATTGAGGACAAACAACAGAAAATGGCCTTGAACCCAAACCTCTCACTCGAAAAAAAAAACTTATTGTACCCGCGGTTTTGCGTTGGTCAAGTCTCATCGGTGCTGACGTAATCGATGTGTGCGCTCGCTCTGGCAATCTCTGCCGAAACACTGCCTACTGTGATAAGCAGCTAACTGTTGGTAAGCCCGGTTGAGGATGTGACAAAGGCCACCTGGAGAAGGCTCTGTGACGTCGACCGACGGCCTCTCCGACCCCCTATACTGCTCACCTTCCGTTCCTTTACATGGCCTAACCATTCACGGAGATACATTCCCCTACGATTTCAGTCCTAACTCCTGTCACCTGCCTTTGACGCATTTTCCCCTGAATGGACTGTGAAGTCACAAACCTGTGGGAATCTGGATCCGTCTTCATCGGTAAGACCGGTCACTGGATATTTTGTGGTTAAGACAGCGTTGCCTTCTAAGAAATATATTTCGTAGTCGCCAAAATTCGATTCTGTGAGCTTTGAATCTCCCGTGTCAAGCACCGATTTACCAGATTGAAGTGAACGTTTGCTCTGTTGTTGAAGTTCACGCTAAATATTGAACAATCGTAAAAATTCACTTCTAGAGAATGATTTTTTTTCAAAAGATCTTTCTGAATGTTCGTTTGTGCGAAAAAAATCGTGTTGCTGATGTCCAAGTCTAATATTGTATGACCCCCCTACATGGGCGAACACAAAGTTTATCCTTCAAGACTTTGGAATTACACATTCCAGATTGGCGTGTGTAATCGATTATACAGGGGGGGGGGGCAAAAAAAAGAGTCACTCCTACTCACATTCAAAACAGAATTAATTACACTTTGCCAAAACCAAACCGAATGAGCTCAATTGCATATTGAAGAGCACATTCTATTCTATCAAAAACATTGCATAGTGGCCTTCGTCCCGACACAAGATTTATTCGCCACGGAAATATGGTTCGCGGTAAGCGACTCAACCGGGGTTCCGAACACGACACACCATAGATGATTGCGAACCGCCTCTAAAACGCTGGTCAACAACAACCTCTCTTGAATATGCAAGCACTAGTGGACATTCGTACATTACTACGAAGTTAATACGTCACCGATTGAAGAATTTATGTAGCAGCTTCAGAATGGAGCGATTATAGTAGGCCTCCTTAAGCTCGACGGTGATGACAGATGACGTCATATTCTGGAGACGGTGAACGCAGCGAAGGTGGGCCTGATTCTGCTTATGGGGGGACATCTAAGGAATAATTTGCCGTATAACTCCCAATAACAGCGGCATCCTTTGCGACGATAAGTTTGATGATATGCGCCATAGGCAAAGTGACTCTTTTTTTTGCCTCCCCCCCCTGTAATATTCTGATTCATGAACAGCATAAGACAGTTCTTTTAAGACGGTGATCACAATGACATGAGGGCGGGTAACTCGACGCTCGTGTGCGCGAGAACGGAAAGAAAGCAAGCGATCCGCGACGGCGTACTTCGTGCATGTGGGACGCTAATATAACATTCTATTTGACGCTATCTCCAAGCACGAAGACTCGTCCCTGCTGCCAGCCCACGTCTCATTCCTTCTCCATGCCACGCGGCGGGCCTCCTGTCAGGTATCCGCTGAAGAGCGGTGCGATTTTGATGACTTCATGAATATCACTGGTGAATCTAAATTGTTCAGTAGACCGCCTCTTCAACTACCATAACATTCATTGATCTCGAAACCGGCACTGCTATTAGTCACTGTGATGTGCCCTTCACAACCCCACATGAATATAAATTGCGAAACTTTTGTAAGAACTTCGTACCGAGGTGGGAGGTTTTCTCAGCTGCATGTAAGGTATCTGCCATAACAGGCGCTGCCGCTCTTGCTCCTTCTTTCGAGTTCTGAAATTTCAAGGGATATATCGTGCAATGACGCTCTCGCAAGGTCTTAAATGATTTCACTCGTGGAACATTTGGATGTAGCGAAAATCCCACTTCAAATAATTGAATGCCGCCTGTCCACCGGACATTAGCCATTGCTTGTTTACCCAATTTGCTCATTTGATAGGACTAAATACAAAGGTGCGCCCATCAAAGCAGCCGATCTGGACACTTGCGAACAAGTCATTTGATGAACGGCGTGGTGTAAGTAAAGCCAGAGTACTGCAGCACTCACCTTAGGTTCTATGGTGAAACTAACTTATGCAAGCCAGAAGAAGCTCTTTTCCCATTCTACTGGCTCCTCAATTATGTTGGTAATGCCTATAACGATTGGGTAGCAAGGATACGGAGGCCCATCGCGTGGCAAGAAGGCAAGAGACCCAAACAGATCAGCGGACGAGTCGCAGCACCTTTTGTGCGATGTGGGACGTACTATAGTCATTACTAAATCGCTACATCACGTGCTGTGACTCGTCCGCTGACCCATCTGCGTCTCTGCCTTCCGTCGCAACGAGATTCCTGTAGGGTATTCGGTAAGGAAGGATGAGCACCATCAAGCGCTAATATTTTGTGCGATCTCACATCACCATTGATACACATCGCCAGTACAAAGAGTATCCAAATTAATTACTGGTGTGAGCTTGAAATTACCTTATTACGTATACGATGAAAATTACAGAAGCAATTAGCACGACTCCAACCACAGCGGCTCCAATTATGACGTATATACCATACTGCTCCCAAAATGGCTTTGGACATTCAGTTCCAGTGTAGCCACATTTTGGGCGAGCGAGAGGTCTGTAAAAAAACTGTTGAACGGTATACCCAAGAAATGAGTGAAAGAACTGACCGTTGACCGCCTCGAGTTGCCCACATAGTGGTCGCTTCGTTTGTGTAGCCCTTTGTCATCACCTTAAGAATCTTTATTAAGCTTCCCGCCTCAAGGCATTCAGCCGATAAAATGGTGCTGAACTCACCGATTGTCCGTCGGTTATTGTGAAATTTATAGCGGTTACTTGATTGAAGTTTGTATCCAGCACATAGACCGAGAATAATGGGATACGTGTTCCGTTTGAATTTATGGTCACTAATCCAGTCAGTCCTAGAAGGTAAAGGTTTCAATTACGACTAGAGATTCGGAGTAATCATGAAATCGGCTTGTAGCTGAGGAAGTAGACTTTTCTACCTTGTGGCAAGCGAAAGCCTCTATACTCTTTCGCTTTACAAGGAAAAGGATGAATCGCATCCGCTATCCTTTGACTTCGATTCAGCAAAGGTCACATTGGATGAGACATATGGAGCATCACTTGATGCAGAACCAACGGATGTAGTGACTGCCCGAATTCTCCTCTAGATAATTATGCCTCAAGCAGGTGAAATTTTCTCTGGGCAAAAAAGAGTAGCCCGCGAATCCACTTGTGACGCTCTCGCACCGTCGAAGGTGCCGGGCAGTGGTGCTAGGTAGGGTCAACCGTCACGTTGGACAAATTTCAGAAATTTTACGTCCCTCTGGAGGGCCTCGATACGACCCCCCCCCAGGGTCAACCCTACCGTTGGTACTTTTTGGAAATTTTTCACGACCCCCCTCCACCACCATGAGACTCAGGAGGTCCACCAATAACGACCACCACCCTTACCACCATCAGAGCTGTTACTATAGTATTTGATTCTGAGACCAGTTGACACCCCAACCCCCCACATTTCCTCCAAAATAGCCGTCGAGGGGGCGAGGTATATATAAACAGTGAGATTTTTTCACAAAGCGTGAAGCGTCCCACTACGACCCCTATTGGATCAAAATTGACGGTGCCTCTGACTGTCGTGACTTCCGTACGACTCAAACTAAAGGGTCGCGCCTGGTCGGGTGCGCGCGGGTCCTGGCGCGCCCGTGCTGTCGAAGCTTCTCGAAGAACGTCAGAGATGCAGAGTGCACGCGCCCTCGCCTGTCTTCAGTCTACGTGCTGCCGCCGTCGAGTGTAGCCGCTGGCCGTTGCTGTCTGTTGTCGCCACTTGTGCTCCAGTGTTCGTACGTCAACGAATGGTTCCGGGCATGGATGCCCGTCGAAGAACATCGGAGCCGAGCCACGTCATCCCCGCGTAAGAAGCACTTCTGGGTTCGACCCGTGAGTCTAGGGTAGTAGCCGTATTATGTTGTAGTGTTTATTTTCATCGTAGTTTCAAGATCATATGAATCTATGGTATATTTTCTTGTAGTGTTTAAATCGTAGCGGTTGATCCGCACCATACTATCTATTTATTAATATGATTAGTGTGTTCATAGTCGGTGTAATGCTCGTAGGCCGGGCCAGTAAATTCCTCGTAGCTAGCTAGTAGCGGGACAATAACATCACAGCGTAGTCCTAGGTATTGCAATACGCAGTAGGATATGGCGTACTGCCAGTCGGGGC